CGCCCGGGCCCCCGCAACCTGCACGCGCGCTGCAGCCGCACCGCCCCGCTACGGCTCGTTATGCGCTAGGCGGGTTCCCGCGCGTCGCCTTCTGCGTCACCCCGCCGCTGACGTGCTCGCCCTGGCTGTGAGCTGCAGGGGGACCAGATTTCCCAACGAGAAAACGGGGCACCCCCCCTTTGCCCGAGGCGCCCCCCATCCCCGCCGCCCGAGGCTGAGGCCCCTCAGGAGTCTGTCACCTTTCGCTGGAGCCTGCCAGGGCCCCGCTGGCTGCCAGCCCCAGAGTCCCTGGGGTTGAAGCAGAGACTGTCACAGGGGTCTCTGGAAGTCAGGGATCTGAATTCCATGACCTCTGTGACATAAACATGGCCTTATGTATTATGCCTGGTGCGGGGTTCCCTGGGACTGGGGGTGCAGCCGGGCCGGGCTGTCTGTAGCTGGCAATAGGGGGCCCCTGCCAAGCTGGTGAGCCTTGCACCGCTTTTTATTTTTCCACTAATTTTTAGACCCTTTCTGTGGGTGATTCTCTGACCCCCCCCCCCGTTTATATCACTTGCACGTTGCATGTGTATCACCACCTCACACTTTTTGTTGGGAAGACCAAGATTTACCGGACTGTAGATAAGCTCAGACTCCAGCCTAAGGCTTTACCTGGTTTCTAGACCCATGGTGGCATGAGTTTGCTCCTGAGTCAGTCCGTGCACAGCCGTGCATATGGAGCTTATTGAAAGGGGTTGCAGATGTCACAGAGGAGCTGCGCTGACACCACTGATTGCGGGGTAAAAAAAGCTTTTACTGTACTTACTTTTCAGTGTATAGTATATAGAGCAGTGTAAACAAGTCGTTGTGTGAAATTTTAGTTTGTACTGACTTTCACTAGTGTTTTTTATGTAACCTGTTGTAAAACTAGGCAAATATCTAGATGAAGTGATATACCCCCTGAAAGACCTCTGTGTACCCCGCAGGGGCACACACACCCCTGGTTGAGAACCACTGCCTTAGACTTCCCTGCAATTTTTCCCATTGTTTGTAAAAAATGGGAGTTCCTCAATGATTCATTGGCTATCTGCTGTAAATAGCTCCCATTGGAACTGCCTGAATCTGATGCTTGCTTGAGGAAGAGCAGTCAGCCTTAGACTGAAATGTTCCAAAGGAACATTGTTATTTGGCAGGTAAGCGCTTGATGACTGGGCATTACTTTAGCAGGGCATTTGAGCTCCTTGATTTCAATTTGTGGCCCTTTGGACACAGGTTAAAAGCTGTGTAATCAGTTATCACTTATCTGCATAAGCAGCAAAGTGTTTTCACAATGGGTAAATTGACATTCCCGAGCACTTTTCCTGAGAAATCAACCTTTAGCCCTAACAGAGACTGAGTTTAATAACAAAATAGGAGGGGCTGTGCTCTTTTATGCATCTTTATGATGCATAAAGCCACAATGAAAGGGTTTTCATAGTTTTTTTTCTTGGTTTTTACCTGAGAAATCTCAGAAATATCAAATTTCATTGTACTGCAGGATTCACTGGTGGTCTCCTAATATTTAGCACAAGCTTTTAAAAGATTAGACTAAAAGGCTCTTCTGCACTCAGTTGGTAACGTTTCACTCTCTTGATTCTTGTGATGTCATAACAGCTAGCCAAAGACTCAAAAGTAATAAAAAAAAATTTAAGTACATCAGAAGCAGGAAGCCTGCTAAACAACCATTTGGGGCTACTGGACAATCGAGATACTAAAGGAGCACTCAAGGTCAATAAGGTCATTGCAGAGAAACTAAATGAATTCTTTGCATAGGTCTTCATGGCTGAAGACGTGAGGGAGATTCCAAAACATGAGCCATTCTTTTTAGGTGACAAATTTGAGGAACTGTTCCAGATTGAGGTGTCAATAGAGGAGGTTTTGGAACAAATTTATAAACTAAACAGTAATAAGTCACCAGGACCAGATGGTATTCACCCAAGAGTTCTGAAGGAACTCAGATGTGAAATTGCAGAACTACTAACTGTAATCTGTAACCTATCATTTAAATCAGCTTCTATACCATATGATTGGAGGATAGCTAATGTGGCGCCAATTTTTAAAAAGGGTGCCAGAGGTGATCCTGGCAATTACAAGCTGGTAAGCCTGACTTCAGTACCCAGCAAACTGATTGAAACTATAGTAAAGAACAAAATTGTCACACACGTAGATGAACATGATTGTTGGGGAAGAGTCAACATGGTTTTTGTAAAGGGAAATCATGCCTCACCACTACTGGAATTCTTTGAGGGGATCAGCAAGCATGTGGACAAGATGATCCAGTGGATATAGTGTACTTAGATTTTCAGAAAGCCTTTGACAAGGTCCCTCACCAAAGGCTCTTAAGCAAAGTAAGCAGTCATGGGATAAGATGGAAGGTCCCCGTATGGATTGGTAACTGGTTAAAAGATAGGAAACAAAGGCTAGGAATAAAAGGTTGGTTTTCAGAATGGAGAGAGGTAAATAGTGGTGTCCCCCATGGGTCTGTACTGGGACCAGTCCTAGTCAACATATTCATAAATGATCTGGAAAAAGGGCTAAACAGTGAGGTGGCAAAATTTGCAGATGATACAAAACTACTCAAGATAGTTAAGTCCCAAGCAGACTGTGAAGAGCTACCAAAGGATCTCTCAAAACTGAGTGACTGGGCAACACAATGGCAGATGAAATTCAATGTTGACAAATGCAAAGTAATACACATTGGAAAACATAATCCCAACTATACATATAAAATGATGGGGTCTAATTTAGCTGTTACCACTCAAGAAAGAGATCTTGGAGTCATTGTGGATAGTTTCCTGAAAACATCCACTCAATGTGCGGCAGTCAAAAAAGCTAACAGAATGTTGGGAATCATTAAGAAAGGGATAGATAATAAGACAGAAAATATCATATTGCCTCTATATAAATCCATGGTATGCCCACATCTTAAATACTGCGCGCAGATGTAGTCGCCCCATCTCAAAAAAGATATATTGGAATTGGAAAAGGTTCAGAAAAGGGCAACAAAAATTATGAGGGGTATGGGATGGCTGCCATATGAGGAGAAATTAGTAAGACTTGTACTTTTCAGCTTGGAAAAGAGACGACTAAGGGGGAATCTGATAGAGGTCTATAAAATCATGACTGATGTGGAGAAAGTAAATAAGGAAGTGTTATTTACTCCTTCTCATAACACAAGAACTAGGGGCCGCCAAATGAAATTAATAGGCAGTAGGTTTAAAACAAACAAAAGGAAGTATTTTTTCACACAACACACAGTCAACCCGTGGAACTCCTTGCCAGAGGATGTTGTGAAGGCCAAGACTATAACAGGGTTCAAAAAAGAACTAGATAAGTTCATGGAGGATAGGTCCATCAATGACTATTAACCAGGATGGACAGGGATGGTGTCCCTAGCCTCTGTTTGCCAGAAGTGGGGAATGGACAACAGGGAATGGATCACTGGATGATTACCATCAGCCACACCATCAGGGGCTCATT